AGAGATGTGTATAAGAGACAGATATAGTATGTTTTCATGATTCCTCAAAAAAAATCCTAAAAAACGACGAAAAAAAGGCCTTCAAAGTAGAAGACGCCCTTAATAAAATAGTAAAATGTAAAATATTCATCGTGTGCGACTTCAGAAAGACAATTGATGATTTCAGAGTGCCTGACTGTTTCATGAAAGTTATATAGCTACTATTCAACTTTAATTTATCCGATACGAAGGTCGCCAGACGATTGGCGACATTGACGCTTCGCGCTCATGAAACTCCCATCGATACTAACAGCATCCAAGCTCGTCGCTGCCGTCCAAGCAGTCGCGCTCCATGTCGCAGTGGTAGCTCTTCGGGATGCACTGCTTATTGCTGCTGCAGGCGAACTCGTTGTAACGGCACGGAGATCCCGGGGGAGACGGCGCGCAGTTCTCCTCGTCGCTGTTGTCCGCGCAGTCCTTGTCGCCGTCGCAACGCCACAACTTGCTAACGCACTGCTTATTATTGCAGCGGAACTGGTTGGGCTCGCATCCGTGCGGACCTGTCGAAAACGGACGTGCGAAACGCTCGCGTGAAATTTCGCACCATAAAGTATGAACGCCCGATAAAGCCAGCCTTTTTCGCTGGCACACCTGTCATACTTACTGCACCGCATCTCGTCGGATCCGTCGGTGCAGTCGAATTTGCCATCGCAGACGTACGATTTGGGAATACAGTCGCCGTTGCTGCAGGTAGCCTGATCGTACTGGCACACTTGCGGCGGTCTGGTGGCCGGCTGCTCGACTGTATGGACAATCAATTTGATATTACAGGGGGTCTTCAGTCATTGAGACAGATTTTGAATTTATTGTTAGCGGTTCTCCGCGCGCGGTTGTATCTCATCGCGAATAAATTTCTCGATCGCGTATAGCTCTAAATCGGAGAGGGCAGGATGGAAGAACGTACATTTCTCGACGTTAAGAATGACGGTCAATTGCCGGCCCGGGGTGGACGGTGGATAACCCACGGCTTCGCAGATGTAGGTTCCGCCGTGCTCGAGCTGGATGTTGGGTATCTCCAGGCGACCATTGATGTCCCGGCTGCCGGGCGGCAGAGGAAGGCCGTTGCCGCGAATCCAACGTACTCTCGCACGTAGAAGACCCTCGTCACGGCATTGGAACACGACCTCGCGACCTGATCGGAACGGTTTTGCATGATATAAATTCCGGTCGGTGAGAGATTGCGGCCTTTACGGATTATTACGTCAAACGTCCCGTCAGTGAGTGGTCGGTAATTAGCAAGCGGATTTCCCCGTTTCTCTTAAATTGAGATGACACTGACGACGTGTTAGTTCAGTTCACGTGCAACACTTCAGTTCTTTTTTAATCGTGTTACTCGATGCGCTGCTTGCATGTAGTAAAAACATTTTATG